GAGTAATATTGTCGTGGTCGTCGTTATCAGGTCCTTCGCCAGTGTGAGGCCAGTGTGGGCACCTACGAGTCGTACGGTGACCCAGTGGATGACTCGGATGATCAACATGACGTTGAAGTAGGTTAGCATTGACATCGTTATGTGAAGGCTCTTGTTAGCACTCTGGAAAGGGTGGAATGCAGGAAAGGGCGTCTGTGAGTGGGGGAGATGAGGCGGTGAGTTCTCGGTTGGGAAGAGCGGGGTGGGAAAATATGCACATGGTCAGCAACTGCATGCGTAGGTGAACTTTGCGGAAATTCTGAGGAATTCTCACTGGTGAACTTGTATAGTTAGTGAGGAAATTTCTGGGTTCAGCTGGGGAAAGCGAACACGATAGGGAAAAGAATCTCATTGTCTCCTGTAGGGTCGCGATGATCTCAAGGATCGAGAGATGACCGAGGTGAGCTCTCGAGGCCTGTCTGTTGACTGTTGACTGTGGGGGAAAATATGCATATGTGTTGGTGATGACAATATGAAAATTCTGAGGAACATGCACGTGGTCAATCACATATTTTAGTGAAAATATGGAAATTCTGCAACATGGGTTTACGTACACTACCAGCCGAACTTGTACTAATTTTCTGTAACTAGTGAGGGAACCAGCTGAAGAGAGCGAATGTGAATTCCTCCAAAACTGCTCTCAGGAGACGCCCATGTTAAATCAGAAGTCGGGCAGTGAAGTGAGCATACACTCCATGGGGTCAAGGGTAAGTTGAATTTTGTATATTATCGAGTGAGTCCTTTCTGTCAGAGTAGAAGCGTTGCTGATCTCGTTGGAGCAACAACAGGAGGAGTAGGTTGGAGTTTGTGCTGGCATTATTCAGTGTGGCTCTTCAGGAGGAGGAGCCATCCGCGATTCGTCCCTTTACACCAACTGTCAACGGGACATGGCATTCGCACTTCATCCAGAGGACTGTGACCATCAAAGAGAAGCCTCTAACTTTGAAGGAGTTGAAAAGTCTCGTCAAAACGGCGAGGCTACCTAGCATGAGGACCTCTACCAAGCCGACAAGCTACACCTTTAATAGTTGGGCTCCCTTGGCGATAGGTGGCGGCCTTAGCTATTCGGTGAGTGGTTGTTCGGCTGTGGTCGTGGGATTAGGAATTGGTGTGGTAGTTAGAAGTACCGAGTTCGCCGTATACAATGGATGGGGGAGGAGCAGAGGAGGTGAGCATGTTACGTTGCAATTCATTGCTTTCCTCAACAGCTGAGCTTCTTTTGTGGAAACAGAATTATACACGAAATCTGACATCGTAGATTATACGAGTCACAAGTGAATTGTTCATCATCAATAGTTTTAATAACCATTGAAACGAATAAACAGAACTCGCAAGGGAACGGGCGGTACGATGGTATGTGGTGTTAGCTTTACTATAGTGCGAAGGTTAACTTTCACGTTCACTGGTGATAGTGTATAGAAACGAAAAAATTTTTGTTTCTGAGAATTTTCATATTGTTGCCAACCACGTAGGTAAGTAAAATACAGAAGCTTTGCGGACTCAAGAAGTTGAGGGACATTCGAACACACTACGTAAGAATCTACTGCCGTGGAATTCGCGGTTATTTTTCTATAGTAGATATCAGTATGCAAGGTTAGGCTCAGTGGGATGCCTCGGGCGTTCATCGACTCTGAAAGTGGTCTTCCTACTATAAGGATGGAAGCCCGTAGCCTCATACGTCCCCTGAGAACGGACATCACTATCGAGTTCGTGTACGATCGCAGTGAAGAGGCCTATGGGGCTTTCGTTGCCCATGCTCTTATGCTGGAGGAGGAATATAGGGTGAGTTGGTGCAATTGTGTATAGATTCAAAGATTTGTGGTATGATGTAGAACACTCGAAGTGTGGAGAAAAAGGGGAAGAAGTCGGTCGAAACGACCACACCTGCTGATTCGCACGTACTGCAGTCCCGGGCTGAGGGGTACAAGGCTCTTACTGATCCTTGGTGGTTTGAGGTTGGTATCCTCACTTGATGTCCTTGCAGTATGCTCGCCGTCTTCCAGGAGGCTCTACCTGGTGAAGGCACCGTACAGCAGTCAAGTCCTCCGTCCCCAGGCTCTCCCCCTGCTGATGATGGTGATGGTCGTGGTGAATCACCGAATGCTGTTATTGACGATAGCGCGTCGGGTCCTGCTGTACGATATTCGCTCGCCCCTGGTTCTTCTCGGGCTTCCATAAGTGAAGCTGAGGAGAATGCCGTTGTGGAGACGCCCCTGGTGAACTATACAAGACTGCCTCCACTAAACTTGCAAACTATTGGTTATGTAAGTGCATTGTGATGTTCTCGAAGAGTGGTATGATTATTATTATTATTTTTGGTAGGATTTCTTCACCAGGCAAGGAGTACCCGTTAAATGGATGACAGGAGTTGATGTAAGCCCTCGAGCTTGTATACCGTTCGAGTCGGAGAGTGGCGAGAAGATGATGTTCACTCCGATAAGTAGGGCAAGTTATGGTATTCGAGAAGCTTTATCGTGGTGCTGTAGGTGCTGGGATAGGAGGCGAGAGTATAAATGGTCGTATGATGATGTACATGGTCCAGTACGGGGCTACTGAGAGGAGCTGCAGAGGTCTGGTGGAAGTACTCACGCTCACTCCAGTCTACTATGCTGTAAGGAAATTCAATTTTGGGTGAAATTGTAAATTGTTGTTGGGAATTGTTCGACTTTGCTACTACTACTTCATAGAGCACAGTCGATGCAGAGATTGAAGTCTTGGTCAAGTTTCGAGTGTATTGTTGTTGCCTCTGGTAGGAGAATTAACGGCGAGCGCTTGTGCGTAGTTATGTATGTGCGTATAACAAGTTCATTGCCATTTACTCATCATCGTATTGAGGCATTAGGAGTATAAGAATCTTCATAGTCTTAGCTCCAGTTCGATCAGTTGGGTGTCCTTAATTCTACCCGAGTAGTTGTAAAGTGTACACCTTCGAATATATGATGATGATTTCTTTTTTACGCCTGAGTGAATAACCTTTCACTGCAAAAGTAGAATTGCAGTTAAAGACTATTGATGCTTTTGTTTATTAGAAGTCTCTCACACGTACGCCTGTGGCGTAAGACTTTACGTCTGGCGACATTTCCCTGCAACGAATACATTCACGTTGAGTGTATGAGAATATTCACGACTTTGGTTATTTGTAGGATTATGATGTTGATGATGAGAATGAACAAACTATCATCGTAAGGGAAGATAAGAAGATATTGACAGAGTTAACGAAGGTTGTTGGAACGAAGAAGGGTGGTGAGAGGAAGGACATAGTTATGATACCAAGGGTGGTACCCTTCTACTACCCCCTCAAGGCCCGCCAGAGACGGCGTAGCGCTGTGATGTAGATGTTCATGTTGTCTGTGTTGGTGATGTATGCAGTTGACCTGTTGAGTATTGGGAGGAATGGGAAGTTTTGGTATGCAATGATGATGGAGAGTAGGGAGATCGAGTGATATCATCATAATCATCGATATCTCAGGACGCTATTTGAGACTATCGAGGTGTCGATGTGTGACACATCATGTGTCCTTTCTGGAATGTATGTTCGCTTTCCTCAGCTGAGCTTGGGAGTTCCCGAGGCTAGAGTTCGAAATTTACACACGACTTTGGGTAGAAGTGATAGGAATCTCTCCAAAATTTCCTCCCAGAATTTTCAGATTCTTACCAACACATGTATTTGACAATGTGCATATTTTTCCACCACACAGCTGGTGAGAAAATGTACAAAATGCAGGTGAGCAAGAGGTCTTGGATATTATATGCTGTGATCAGGCATTAGTTGAGCATTATATCTAAAACTATTAGCTAAAGGGCACATATAACTTGAAGAGTGCAAGGATAACCGTTCTCAGTTACTTACACTGAATAGGTGAGGAGATCACAATGGTGCACACAGAGATATAATGCTCAACTAATGCCTGATTACAGCATATAACAATGATGGGACTGCGGAAGTGATACTAGTTAGAGGAGTATGAGAAGAATACGACGCCGCTGATATCGAGGCAAAACCAAGACTGATTTTCGGTTGTCTTGGGCATCAACAACGGCTCCACTATTGAGGCAAGGAATATTTCATACTGACTCTGTTATGAACTATTCCCATTGGATTCAGCGATGGCTTCTTTGTGCGTTGTGTGGTTAGAATGCTTCTTACAGCAGTAGTAGGAGCCTTCCTCCACAATCGTGACTAGAGTCAGCCGCAAGCCGACTACATCTAGATTGACTGCTGTGGCTGGCGATAAGGGTATATACAGCTCAAATGACTGTTCAACAGTTACAAAGTCTGTTAGGAGGGTAGAGCTTGCCACATTATCCACACATACATTGGATAGTCGTGACTCGTTTCCCGAACTCGAATTTCTCACTAGGTCTTCGAAGTCGCGGAGGTCGCTAAGGTGTCCCCGGTTCGATCCCCGGCTTGGACATTTTTCCGTCATCTTTTCGTGTATATCTCTTCGAGCTGTTCCATAATCGAGTTTTTAGATTCTTGCGCAAACCTCGGCATATAGAGGAGTCGTTTGATCTATCTGGTGGCCTTCCACACTTGGTAGTTAAGTCGGAATAATTCTGCACGCACGCACATCGCGGAAGTGCCTCTAGTTGCGGTATACGCTCCGCTCGCTTCGCAAATACATACAGATGTACACGTTAAAACTGTACGCTACTTTCTTCCCTAAACTCAGTGGCTGTAGTGTTACCTTATACCCTCCCCCATTACCTTCACGTAGTTTCTCATCAGCATGCTAGGGCCGACTGTCATCATCGGTCTGGCCTACTCCGTGGCTGTATTCGTAAGTCGGGGGAATCTGCCGATGGATCCATCATGTCTCCGTCGTAGGTGTTGGGGTCCAGCGAGATGTCGGGAGGGCACGGCAGTTTCCAACGCCGACTCAAGATTAGTGATGTTGACATTGTCGTCCAGGATTGGGACAATGCTGATACTTTCCCAGAGAGTGTTCTTGTGAGTGATGCCACGTCCATCGATAAGGAGTATGTGGTTGTTGTTAGATCAGAACGCCTTCATCGTATGCGGTGGCGAAGGAGGCGGATCAGGTGAGGAGGGAGCCTGGAAGTGTGGGGAAAAATATGCACATGGTCAACTACATGTGTTGGCCACAATTAGGAAATTCCGGGAAATTTCTAGTGGTTGCCCTATATAAATTTCTATACCTATCGAGGAGATTCTTGAGCTCAGCTTTGGGAAGTACGCATATATTTCCTCAAAATTGCGAACCAGTGTTGAAATATATGTTCGCTTTCATCGGCTGAGTTGGAGAGTCTTCTCAAGTTCATATTGTAGAAGTTCATACTTCATACTTGTTCAAGTTCATCGTTCACTGTTGTAGAAGTTCATATTGGATGAATTAATGCTGTCAGCAGGGGAGACCCAGGGTTAACTGTCATTGCTTCGACGAGAACGTTCGAGTGAATCTTCCGAGTGATTCTAGCAAAACTAACACTAGCTGTCTTATATCGTATTAACAAGGGGTAGAAGCGTACAGGAACCTGATGAGAATTTCCCAAAATTTCCTCCCAGAATTTACATATTGTCACTAACGTATGTGGTTGACCATGTGCATATTCCCCGACACTACTGCAAACGTTGTCGTCTGCTGTTTTGTATCTACACGATGTGTCTTCGTCCTTTCCAGATTCAAGCCGTTCAGCAGATCTGCGACCAACCTGTCACTCCGGAGCCTGCTGCGGTTTCGGATAGAGCCGAGGTTGGTATGCAGATTTCGAATAGACGGAGATATTCGACAGATACCCCTGTGCCGTATTAGAGTCACGTCATCACCTCGGGCGGGGTACGACAAGGAGGGAGGGGAGTATGTGATTTTCATCGAGGGGGTGGTCGCTGAGAAGGACACTAGGATGACGATGGACACTACTTATGAGAAAACAGATCTTGGGAAAAGACTTTTCGTTTCGCATTTTACGACGCTCTTTCATCTGTATCATGTAAGGGTGGAGAATATCATGATGTTGCTGATGTGCATGCGTGCACTTGACCTTAGGAGCATTCTGGTGAAGGTGATACGAAAATCCCGGCCACCTCGATGCGATGGTTGATGGAGGCCGGTCAGTCGTGGTGGAAACCTCTGGACGAGAAAGTAAAGTTACTATGACCGACTACTACTCCATTATGGCGTCTTCAGATGAGCCTCCAAGACTTGGGCCTAAGCATAGAGGTGAGGGTATGTATAGCAGGTATGGGCTTGATGGTGTTGGTGTATGGTAGCTCGATAGGGGTGTTCAAGGCTTGGGGAGGAAGGGACAACCATTCGATGTAAGGAGAGGAGGGGGAGATGTTGATTGTCGAGAATAGATGACCGATTTTTGAAGCTATGATTTTGGTGACAATAGTGATGATGAATAAAGTCGTTGTTAACAATTCGGGAATTTGAAAATGATTGTTTTTGCTGGGAAAATTTGAACTAACTCGGGAGAAGAAGAAAGGCGTTGTTTTATTCTGTTCACGTTAGGAAGGGGTGGTGTTGTTTCTGAGACTGCATCTGTGTTGAGGAAATATATGGTTGAGCTCAGGAGTTCCCTCACTACTCACTATAGAGGTTGATAAATGAATTAGAATAGGTATGAGTACGAATTTCCCGAAAATTTCCGCAAAATTTTCATATATTCATCAACACATGCAGTTGACCATGATGTGGGTTTTTAATATGGACTGCGCGGATTCCCTACCACTCCTTGTGTACTTCTTTAGATAGAGTGGTACAGTGCTCACGAGGAGACCATCGGGGTGCGGAGCTTGGTGAAGGTGAACGGTCCTTCCCCTACTCCTCATCCTTCCTTACAGCACGTCTATCAGGGCGGGGGGGCACTCCATGAGATTTCCAAATTGCATATCCTTGCAAATGCTTGTTATCAAGCGGATGATGACCTCTCGAGGGGAAGGCACACGTCCAGGGCTAGTGAGAAGAAGAAGAAGGGTGGAGTTGTTATGAGATTCCTTCCTCCCCTCCTCAATTGGAATGTTCAATCGACGTAACATAGAATTCACCATAGTGCATAGGGGTGGTTCTATGTCGTGTAAAGATGCTGTTGAGATTCTCTCACCATTTGCTTTACTACAAGTAGTTGATGGTGTGGTATTGGCAGAAGGCAGAGTTTTCCCTCAGGAGGATGTGATGGCTCCTCCTGTAGAGGGAGAGGAGGTAGGGGAAGCGACAGTGTAGAAGGGCAGTAGTTGACCTTAGGTTGGGTCGTCATCGTTGGGGGCCGCTTTCAAGAGATCTAGTGATGTTGGGGAAGGAGTGGTAGGGGGATTGATTATGGAAAAAAGGGAGGAGGGTGGCGTTGTTGGTCAGGATGAGGGAGAGTATGCGGCGGCGGCGGCCTTTTCGTCATCGGTACGAGCCTCGGTAATATTATGTGTTGTGGAATTGTCTTTTTCGTAGAGTTCTGAAGCTATTGATGAAGATGACGATAATGATGATGAGGATGATGATGATTCGACAGTTTCTGTGGGGGGAGGCGAGGAGACCGGTGAAGAGGAGGAAGAGAAGGAGGCCTCTAAGGAGTTGGATGCTGAGGTGCTCCTCCTCGTCGGCCTCCTCCTCCTCGTCATCATCTTTATCGGGTCGTTGATGTGCTCCTCAGGCTTCGTGTGTCCCCAGTGGGGAGTCGGCTTGTCCTCCTGTTGGGGATGGTGATGTGGATGAGGGCAATGAGGAGGAGAAGTTGGGGGAGGTCTTCTGGGGGCTCTTTATCGATGAGGAGAAGGAAAACAACAACCAGCAGCAGCAGCAGCAGCAAGGGGAAGAGGAAGACCCTCCAAAGGTGAGTACAGGGGATTACCATTTCTATTTGTTGTGATGTGGTGCCTAGGTACAGACTTCTCAGACACATACGACGATTACGCCGAAGAGGAGGAAACTGCGGCAGCATAGGGTGAGTGGAAAAGTGCCCTTGCTGGGAGTCGAACCTGGGCGGGTTTCAGGTCAGCGTTATAATCCCCAAGGACGCCTTCATCCCCACTGAGCTGCGCTACCACGGCCTAGTCCCTCTCATCGATGACAAGGTCAGCAGTAGTCTGTTGCCTAGTGGGGAGCTGAGGTCTAGTAAGCTGTGGAGGAAGTGCAAGAGGCAACCGTCGAAGGTCACTGTGAAGGGCGGCAACTGGTTGACGGTTGGCAACGTTGCAAGCGGTTCTCTTATGGTCACCTTTCCTCACTTGACCAAGACTTACGCGATAGAGGCTGATATTAAATTTGGGGGGCAGCAGAGGAATGTGGACCTACCTGAGGAAGTGCTGGCCATTCTGGGGGTAGGAGGACTGGGAGTTGGTGGATTTATGGTATGAGAATGGGAGGGCTCAGGTCACTGAAACGGAGTCTTTCCCTGATCTCAACGAGAGATATAAGGGGAAACGGTACAA